AGGACTGCACAGACATTAGATATTGCTGCCATTGTTTCCTTCCAGAAACTTTTTCAACTAGTCTGTGGCTCTGAGATTTCTTAGTAGATGCTCACTGAAGCATTAGCCAGACCCAATCTTGCTTTGCTTTGCTTCGTAGGCATGTCAAGGTTGGCTAGGTGCTATCAGCTATTGAGACAGGGATATTAGCTGAACTTCATACTGAGAAGTAAAATCTATATTCATGTATTAAAGCAGAGTTCCCCAACATTTCCAGCTTTGTGGACTGGACGGGGAGGAGAGGTGATAGTTCTGTGTGAGTGGCAGGCAAGTGTGCATGCGTCACTCACACAAATGGAGTGCGTATGCACGTGCTTCCCTGCTGCTCATGCAAATGGGGATATCGTGTATGCGCACTCACCCGCCACTTCCATGGCCCAGTTCTGAACGGCCCATGCCCTGGGGGTTCGGGATCTCTGTATGAAAGTATATATTTGTTCTTGTAGTTTACCGTATGTCTTTGGTAGATTCAGATAGCCAGTTTGGTTATAGTGGTTAAGTCACCAAGCTAGAAATGGAAAACCGGGCATTCTAGTTCTGCCTTAAGTATAAAGCCAGTTGAGTGGCCTTGGGCCAGACATTTTCTCTCAGCTCTAAGAAGGAGGCAAACCATTTCTGAAAAACTTTGCCAAGCAAATGTCCAGTCGTCAGGAGTTAACACTGACTTGAACATACTGTACATGCACATGTGTGCATGCACACACAAATGCGCGCATACACACACACACACACACAAATTTCAGAGACTCAAATTCATTTTAATGAATTTTTAATAATAATTTTTAAATAGCTTGCAGTCCTCCCTGAAAGCTACAGTAATTAGACAGATCAAAAGTATTTTAAAATGGGAGGGAGGAAGGAAGGAAGGAAAGAAAAATTCCATGGTATTAACAGTGTTCAGTAGGAAAATCAAAACAACTTTAACCACCAATCAAACCCCAAAATGAAGTTTAGATCAGAGGTCTCCAACCTTTTCGATTTGGCGGCCCAGAAAGGGAGGCAGGCACTGCTACTTGCGCATGCACAAATGGGCCATGCATGAGCGGAAGCACATGCACAAACAGCCACATGCGACCGCATCCACATGTGCAAACGGCTGCTCATGTGCAAGTGCTAAAATGGGCGGCGCTAGAGGTGGGATGCTTGGGGCGGTGCTAGCGTGAGTGGGGGGGTGAGTGCATGTGAGCGTGCACTGGCCATCACTTCACGCGACCCGGTAGTCAAGTGGCCACAGCCCAGTAGTGGGCCGCAGCCCACAGGTTGGGAACCCCTGGTTTTGATTATTCCTATTGGGTAGTCATATATCTTGTTTGGTATCACATTACCTAATAGCCTTCATTTAAAACTATAAATAGTCATGCAATATAATAATGACAAGAACAAGAACAACTTATTAAACTCGTATGTTTCCCAACTGTCAACAGCTCTGGAATTTTCCTGCAGCCTTTCTGAGGGAATAGAAAAAAAGCATTGATGATTTCAGAGGTGCCAAACCAGAAAAATGCAGTAGTCATATGCTTTTATTAAAGGATGCAGATTTTGCTTCGTCATCAAAGATTTTGGAGATGACTGCATTTAACTCATTTTAAAAAATAAGAATTAAAATCAAATAAGGACCATCACAGTATAAAGTAGCAGAGAAAGTTCAACATCACTACTGAGTGAGATGAAAACAAATCCTTTCTGCTTTAAGGGACCTTCAAATCGTTTTTGAAATAACGTTCTAAAGCACCTCAAAGCTTTTGAAAGAGTCATTTTGCAAATGAGGCAATTTGGCTTGGGAAGCTACTTCAAAAGATGTCCCTGGCTGTCTCTAAATGTGTGTGCAAAGCACAGACACTTTGCTTCCGTGGTGATGCCAGGGAAAGTGTTGCCTGGCCACGCAGAGGCAAGTAATTGGGGACAGATTTGCAAAGAGCTGCTTTCATTCTTCAAAAGGGATGTTTTGTTCATCAAAACCCTTTGCAAAACCCTACGGTATACTCTTAGCCACAGCTGAGGTTTGGCCTGCACACAATTTCTATTCTGTACATTTCTCAACCGTATTCTCAAGACATATGGATTAGTTAGAAAGCAATGCATTCTCCCCTCCTAATCTATTTTTATTAACTATTGTCTTAACCATTGGTTTTAATAACAATATATCTCATGAAGCTATACTGGTCAGCTTCAAATGGATGGCCTGCGTATACAATTCCAATGTTAAGAAAAATTGCTTTTTAACTGATTCCCTCCTGGAATGGCTGCAGCCAAGAAAAAAGTGAGAGCTTTGGCATCTTATATGACAAAATGTAAAGCCTTTCTATCAAGGCCAACTTATAAATATTTAGACCTATAAAGAAATTAAATTATATGCCCTATAGTAAAAATAGGCAAGAGAAGCTTTTAGTGTCACTGGCTGCAAATTGAAATCATTTGTCTAGGAGGGTCAGGTGTCACTGTCTGGTGAGGATTTAACTGTGATCCAAGTGAAGGAAGATTGATAGAACAAAGGGAATGGTGAAATGTGCATATTGCTAGTAATTAGGAAAATTTTAAGCAGGAATGTTCCTTTGTGTGAAATAGTGCGAAACAGAAGCAACTGTTGGCAGTCGTGTATGTTTAAGTCTGATTTCTTGATAAAGAAATGAGTGCTTGTGAATATCAATGAACAATGATAGGTATTGCTTTCAGTTCAGATTTAATGAAAATTGCTTGATCATTTTTGAGATGAATATATTTATAATTGTTAACTTTTTTTCTCGTGAACGTAAATTTCATTGGGCCACTTTCCTGTAACTTTCTGCAAGTACCATGAGTTGGGAGGTGCTTCATTATTATGGTTATTTTGGACTGAGGTTACCTTGTATAGGTAGTCATTGTTTGGTGACTGCCTCATTTAGCAACTTCACAGTTATGACAGTAACGAAAAAGTAACTTTGCAGATCTGCAAAGCTGCTTTTACCTCTCCTTTACAGTAAGGTTTTTTTTTAAATAAATATTGTTATATTTATCTTTTCAGTGCCTGGTTTTATTTTCTTGGACAGCTATATAAATCAGTCTAATAAATAAACTAATTGCATGTTACTCTCTGTAGAATTCTGCATATAGAATTGCACAATTCTATATAAACTAAGTGGACCGGTGTTACTTATTCTGCACTTTTCCCATTGTTATAAAATGGTTCGTTTCCTAAATCTAGAAAGGGAACATTTGAAGAAGTATCATGTTACAGTTGTTAAAAGAAAAGGAGAAACCCTAAAAAGAAACAAATTATGTTTTGAAATTGTGATAGCATTTTAGTGGGATGGCTAAATTTTAGGTAGAAAATTAGAGTCCCAAACCTCCTTTCTCAGAAATGTCTGGGTCAACAATCTGACTAGCAATCCCAACAAAAGAATTCCTCAAGGTAATTGAGTCCCAAAAGGTAAAACTTTATTGGATATACCATCTTATGCATGTTGGCCAAGCCTTCCACTGTAGAGTAAGTACCTAGTAATTGCTATTGTTGCTATTTATTTTCCTGATGGAGTCTCATCTAGCATCACACCTCATGCCTGGTTGTGGGAAAGTAATGGCTGTCACCAACTGTACTTAAGTTTTGCCGATTGTTGGAATGCGAGAAAAAAAATCTTTTATACAACCTCCTAGACTTAGCCATACACTGTAGAGCAGAGGTCCCCAACCTTTTGGGAACCCTCTGCAGATTAGAGGTTGCATAGTTTTATGTGGTGCCTACATCCCACGGATGGGGCTTTGCTTGTTTGTGTGGACCAGTTGCTGGCATGCCATAGCCCAGTACCCGTCCACGGACTTGGGGTTGGAGACCCCACCTGTAGAGACATTTGACTAGAGGGTTCTTCGTCTTTTCTTCACTCGTGGGTAAATCAAACTTGCAAGAACTCATCAAAATCAAAGTGTATTTAGAAAAAAGATACACAATTTAAAACGCTCTTTGCAACTTTCCCTGCCCAAATTGAGAAGACTTAATAACAATGAAGGGAAGCAATTACAGATTGTTTAGATTGTGAGGGAAAACAGCACCTTGATTAAAAGAAAATGCCACAGATAATGTAGTGCTCCAAGTAGACCACAAGATGCCACTGATCTACTGCAAGTCTTCCATCACTAGATATGTTGGAGGATTCCAAATTAATACAGCAACTCCAGAAAATTTTCCCATAGGAAACTTCATGCACAGATGAAAGCTGATACTAAATAATAAAAATAATAATGTATTTAGATCTACACATGGAAGAAATTGTAGAACAGTTCTTAACTAAAACCTATTCCCTTATTCCTGTAGAGAGGAGATACTCCTGGAAACAGGATAGTTCCTTTGCTTCTTTTCCTTCTTATAAATACTACTTTAATCAGAGACTACAGGGGGAGGAGGGAGTAGCTAGAAAACTCCTCTGCTTCCTCTCTTCTTACCAGCTTTCTGCCCTGTTTCTGCCCAAGGTCTCCCACCTGTAAAAAGAAGAATTTTTTCCCTAACAGAGGAAGGGGAAACTGTCTATTACATGTCAAAGGACCTCCCCTTCAGGAAGAAGTGGATTGTCTGATCCTGTCTGCTGTGACTGACAATTGGCAGCATGGAAAATGCAGGCAATCCGTCAACACAGCTGTATTTACCCAGAAGGAAGGCGGCACTGAATTTAAGATCACTTTCATCCCCAGGAAGATGAGGCAAATTCAGTTCCCTAAGCCCTCCTATTTTAAGGATCAATTATTTGTGGGTTGGGAGAGTGGGGAGAAATCCGTTATCTTTTTAGTTAAATACAGAATTTGGTAGTTACTTGAAATAACTCAAAAAGGACTACAGTTTAGCCTACTTGCCTTTAAAATTCCTAACACGTGAAACATGATGACTTTATAATATTCTGACCTCAAGAAAGTGAGGGGGGATTTAATTGTAAACTTTTGTTTATATGTTTTGTGTTTAGCAACCAATTTTTGAAATATTTCTTTCCTCTTTACAGAAACCAAAACAAAAGGACTGGCATCCTCCTGGAGGCTTTATTTTGGGACTTTGGGCTCTGATTATCATGGTCTTCTTTAAAACCTATGGAATCAAGCACATGAAGCACATCTTTTAGAACTTCAAAGCAACCAAGTTTGAGCTGTGAATGTTTGCATACCAGAAAATATTTGAATGGATAATATCGTGAACTTGTCTGCTTGAAATATTTTGTTATGTTTTGCTCCATCTTTTAAAATGAACTTTAATTGAAAAAAAACCTTATTTTTTTTCATCTTTAAAACACAACATAATTTCATAAAAGGTCTGAAGTTATTCTACTTGGAATTTTCCACCTGCAAGGATCCACTAGTGGAAAAACAGATCTCTACTGTGTACCAACAAGGCTACTCTGAAAGAATACAAGCATGGTTTCACTTAAGAAGCATCTTTCCTTCAAGATCACTGCAACTCTATAATACAAGGAAGCATCATGAATGCTACCATGAAGACAGGTTCTACGTGAAAGCAGACTCTAAGTGCTAATATCTTAGAAAACTTGTTTCTTGTCCTTCTTTCTGTCATATCTGAAATGTCAGTTTATCATTTTCATTATGTAGAGCAGCTGATGAGTAGCCTTTATTTCCATAATGGCCAGACAAGAATATAGTTACAGAAAAGAATGGTTAGATCAAACAGTGGGAGGGATTAGATGAATGCAGAGGAAACTTTATTTTAAAATCAATGAACATCTTCTGAGCTGTACTGAAAAATAGTTGTGTCTATTATTATTTATAAAAAATAGTTCCCCTGTCATTGAAACAAAGGTTTAGACACTGCTGAATCTTATTTAAGATGTCTTCTTATTGATATATACTTACATCCCTTTGCAGATTTTTGCTGTATGTATTGAATATCTGCTCAACAGAAACAAAAATACTCTTAGGGAAATATTGATTAGCACTGTTTAAATTCAGCCTCTTAGATAAAACCTTTGCCTACAACCATTATATTTCTTGGATTGTGTGACTCTTTCAAATTTACAACCAATAGCAAATTCATCAGTTCTTCAGCAAATGTGCACTTAGATTTTCCACATGCACAGTCCACCAGCCTGGCGGATCCAGATTACATTCAGAAGCCATGAGCATAAAACATGTTTAATATAGCTTTAGACAGAGCTATATATTTGTAATACATACAATTCTTGAGGTAATATGTTCATGGAAAGGTATAGGTAAATATTTTTGAGTGAATTATATTAAATTGATTAAATCAAACCTGCACATATATCTGTATTTTTTCACTTAGGATACAAAAGCTGGGTAAGACATACCAGAAACATTGTTTCTCAACCTTGGCAGCTTTAAGATATGTGGACTTCTGGAATTCCTCCGTCATCAAGGGGAATTCTGGGAGTTGAAGTCCACACGTCTTCAAACAGTCAAGGTTGAAGAAACATTGCCATAGAACTAAGATGCATTGCTACAAGTTCTGCATTATGACGAGTTTAATTCTCCGTTGAGGGTATTCTGTTTCATAAACATAAAACATTGACCAGTATGAGGAATGAAATCTTTTTGTGCATTTCAGATTTCACTTCATACATAATTAGTTGGGTTTATATAATATTATTGAATGAATTAGAGGCAAAGAGAAGCTGTGGATTATTTATATAGATAAAGTAAGACCAATATTACTATATTTGAATTTGATTGAAAGATATTATTCTTGTCACAAAAGACCACTTTTTATAAGAATACTTATCTAGCAAAACAGCAAAGATTAATCTGTTGAAATTTTGTTTATTGATTGTTGAGTTTCAGTACTTCAGAACAATACAACCTTAAAGTTTATATTTTATATGATAATCCCATTTTTGCCTCCAGGAAGATCATTAAGAATAATCTGTTTCCAAAAATGTGTATGTGAATGTAAATATTAAAAAACCCTATTTGTATCTGTATATGGAATTTGTAAAATCTTGAATATAACATTCTTCAGCCAGATGCATGACAGATGCCTACTTTATTTTCTAAATTTTATTTTCCAAATTTTGGTATTTAAAAATCTAATAATAGCTTTATGGATGGACATTGTGAAAATGGTAAAATCAATAGAATCCTGCTGGAATTAAGCAGTGGTATCCCTACTTTGTAGGCTTCTTGTTCAACCTAAAATCTGTCCTGCTCAGTAAAGCCAGTAGTTTTTTGGGAGAGGGAAGCAAGTCTGTGGGAACACAGGAGCATGAGTTACAGGTCAAGATAATTTGCTTAGAGAAAGAAGACTGTTAAGTAAAGACAATTTATGAAACGGGGAAAGCAGCAAAGCTGATTAACAGGGGTGAGGAAAACAATTAGACTGAAATGCAGCAGTTCACATTCTGTAACTTTGAAAGTAAAATTCTTTCTGCACAGTCAATTGGACTGTAACTCCCTATATTTGCTGATGCTTCCAGGAGAAATCTTTGAAACACTTTAGAGACACAATGCAATACCGTTACAAGCCAAAATATCATGGACTATGTTAACAGAATCCTGTTGTTTGTTCTTAGGAAATTTATATTGACTGTATTAATCATGCTATGTTGAACAAAACTAAAAAGCAAGCATATTCTAGAAACTCCTTTTTTCCTCTCAACTCATTCATGAGAAAGTTAGTTCTTTGTAACTAATTTCATATAGTCTTAGTTGGGTTTCTAGAAAGGATATCATTTCCTATCTGATCGTTAACTGGGTTCAAATAAAAACATATGACAAAGGTAACTCGGCAAGTTTAAATATTATCACCATCTTTTTTATTTGTAGTATTAAGAGTTGCTCTCATAATTCCTTCACAACTGTAAGTCTGCAAGCTGTTTATAAACCTTGGAATCTAGATTCCCCTCCATTCCAACATAACCCTTACCATATCTGATAATTTTTCTAAAACACAGCTTCTAATTTTCTTTCCCCCCTTATATGTCATGAAAGGTGCAGATGCATACCCGAAGAACATTCCTTTATGCAGAAATGAATAAGATTGCAGCAGTTGTTTAATCTGGAATTTGGTGTGCAGTTACTTCTCATTTTTCATGACCTGATAATTTCAACAGGATTATCTGTAGTTTTTTTTTAAGATTACACTTGTGCCATCAGTGGTAATATCTAATCACCATGTCTTTTGTCAGCCTCTTTTCAATTGCTTCCAATTTTTGTCTCCAAGTGGGTGCATTTAAGCTTCATTATCAACAGTCCCAGCAAGCAGTTTTGCTTTACTTCTAGCTTTACTTCACTGAGTGATTTGTTGTTCTTGCACTCCAAGATATTATCAACAAATTTCTCCAGCAGAACTCTAAAGCATCCATTTTTCTTTGTTCAGCCTTTCTGATGGTCCAGCTTTCTCTGTCGCATATTTTTTAACTTAAGAAAACCAGAGATAGGGGCGTTGTCTTACCTGAACGCCTTTTCTCAGCATGATGATGGAGAACCCATGGATGGGTTGTCTTAATCTATCTGCTCCAATTGGACTAAGTCTGAAATTGGTAACGCCCCCTCTGTGCCAAGTGCACCCCAGTTTTAGACTAAGGCGATACCCAGACTTTAGTCTGACGCGTCTGAAAAAAATGGGAACCAGGCCAACTGACCTAATGGGAGGGAGTGGATTCTCCATCATCATGCTGAGAAAAGGCGTTCAGGTAAGACAACGCCCCTTTCTCCAGCATGATTGGATGGAGAACCCACGGATGGGACATACCAAAGCCCTGTGTCCCTAGGGTGGGAAATTAGATTGGGCCTGGGTCCCATCCAATGTTAATGCGTGTTCTAGTACCTTGCGGCCAAATGAAGCCATAGAAGATGCGTATATATCCATCTTGTAGTGACGGACAAAGGAGGAGGGCGATGCCCATGTTGCTGCCCTACAAACTTCCTCTATGGATGCCTGGTAGACTAGGCTGCTGTGGTGGCTGCACCCCTGGTGGAATGGGCCGTGATATGGCTGGGAGCTTGTAGTGACTGAGTCTGGTATGCCAGAGAAATGCAAGCTCTAATCCACCTGCCTATAGTGGGTGAAGAAACCTTCTGTCCTAACGATGACGGGTGAAATGACACAAACAGAGCCTCAGTCTTGTGGAAGGATGAGGTCCTCTGTATATAGCAATATAAGGCCCTGCGAATATCCAGTCTGTTCCACTGAGCCTCTATGTCATTAGATGGATTCGGACAGAAGACCGGCAAAACTATGTCCTGGGATCTATGATACAAGGAGTTGACCTTGGGCACGAAAGAGGGATCTAACCTGAGAGTAACCCTGTCCCTATGGAAGATACACAGGTCCTTTCTTACTGACAGGGCAGCCAGCTCAGAGATTCTTCTGGCTGAAGTTACAGCAACCAGAAATGCCACATTCATTGATAATTGTTTGAGCAAACAAGTGTCAATAGGTTCAAAGGGTGGTGAGACAAGAGCCTGTAGAACCTGATGAAGGTCCCAGGAGGGATATCTATGTACCGTTGGTGGTCTGGCATTGTTAGCTCCCTTTAGGAAGGAGCGTATCATAGGGTGCTATGTTAAGGATTCCTTGCCACAGGAAATAACCGTGGCAAGTGCTGCTACCTGCCTACGGATGGTGCTTGCGGGAAGCCCTTTGTTCAGACCATCCATCAGGAACTCCAAGATAACTGGCACTGTAGCCTGTAAGGGTTCAATTTTGTGAGCTAAACACCAATTACAGAAGCTTTTCCACGTGGCATCATATATTCTATTCGTCGAGGGTCGCCTGGATTGCTGGATCATGGCTATGACCCTTGACGAATATGAGTCTAGGCCTAAGGCCTGCCTCTCAAGTGCCAGACGGCTAATTGGAGCCATTGAGGGTCCGGATGATGTAACTCCCCTTGAATGAGGGAGATCCGATTGGCTGGAATCCTCCATGGAGGGGATGCAGAGAGCTCCATCAGGTCGGCGAACCAAGATCGTCTCGGCCAATGCGGGGCGACCAGGAGGACCTCTGCTTGTTCGCGAAGGATCTTCCTGATCGTGGCAGGTAGAAGGGGCAGGGGAGGAAAGGCATAGAGCAGTTCCCTGGGCCAGGGACTGCGGAGTGCATCTGTTCCTTCCGCTGATCGAGACGGGAACCTGGAAAGGAATCTGGGAAGCTGTGAGTTGGCTGGGGAGGCAAACAGATCTAGGGTTGGGGAACCAAACCTGTCCACGATCTCTCTGAAGATCTTCGGATCCAGCTGCCATTCGGAATGGTCCACGGTGGCTCTGCTCAGTGAGTCCGCCTGCTGGTTGGCCACTCCGAATATGTGCTCCGCCCTGATGGAGGCAAGATTCAGTTCCGCCCAAGACCCCAGCAATCTGGCCTCCTGCATGAGAGGCTTGGACCTTGTTCCCCCGTCTGTTGATATGGGCCTTGGCTGTGATGTTGTCGGTTAAGACCAGGACGTGCTGTCCCTGTACTAAGCTGCTGAATCTCTTTAGGGCCATGTGTATGGCTCTTAGTTCCAGCCAGTTTATATTGTTCTTTAGATCTTGCCTGGACCACTGACCTTGGGCCCAGTGTGTGTGGAGGTGTGCCCCCCACCCAAATAGGCTTACGTCTGTGGTGATGGTGATCCTGTCTGGTTCTTTGATTTCTGCTCCCCGTGACAGTGCCGGAGAGTCCCACCAACGAAGGGAGTTCAACACCGACTGTGGAACTTGGACCTTCTGGTGGGATGTGCTGGTGTGAAATCTCTGAAATGGAAGGAGAAGCCACTGTAATTCTCTGGCATGGAGACGTGCCCATGGCACAATTTGCACGCAGGACACCATCTTCCCTAGTAGCTGTGAAAGGGATGCCAATGTGACTACTCTGTCCCTTCGGATCCGACGTACAAGAGTCTGGATAGAATTCCGTCGGTCCTAAGATAGGTAGACCGAGCAGTTATCTGTGTCTATAACTGCGCCCAAATGGAGGAGCCGAGTTGTTGGTACAGTATGACTTTTCTGGAAATTAACAGAAAACCCGTGCTCCTGCAAAACCTTGATGGCTAGGGTGAGGTCTGCTTGGGCACTTTGCCATGATGATGACTGAATTAGAATGTCATCTAAACAGCATTGAACTCTGATGGGAATTTGTCTAAGGTGGGCTGCGATCACTGCCAGTACCTTTGTAAATACTCTCGGTGCAGATGAGAGGCCAAATGGAAGGGCTCTGTACTGGTAGTGGTGTCGGGCATAACTGAATCTGAGGAATTTGCGGTGTCCAGGAAAAATGGGGATGTGCAAATATGCCTCAGTCAGGTCTATTGAGGTAAGAAAGTCACCTTGCCTGACGCCAGCCAGGATTGATTGAAGTGATTGCATCTTAAATTTTTTATACTTCAAGTAGAGGTTTAGACCTTTTAAGTCCAAGATCGCCCTCCAGCCCCCTGAAGTCTTGGAAATGACGAAGAGGTTTGAGTAAAACCCTCGTCCTTCTTGTTCTTGTGGAACTGGTTCAATTGCTTGTATTTGCAATAAGTGGGCTACTGCCTCTGACATAAGTTCAGCTCTGGTCCTGTTCGTTGAACTAGGACAAGAGCGGAATCTGTCAGGTGGATGGGAACAAAATTCTAGTCTCAGACCTTGGGAGACGGTGTCTAACACCCATGCATCCGTAGTAGTGGCCGCCCAAATGCTGGAATAGAGGGCCAGCCGGCCTCCTATGGGAAGTGAGGCTGCAGGTTCACTTGCCTCGCTTGAAGGAGCGGCTCCCTGCGCCTCGAAAGGACCGCTTGGTCTGTAACTGTGATCTGCCTCTGTATGCTGAACGATCTTGTTGTCGTTCCTGTCTCTGAAAGGAAGGGTGAGGAGCCTGGGCCCAGTCCCAGGATGGCGCTGGCTGAAAGGGCTGCCTTCTGTAGTTACTCTGCGACAAGTTCCCCCAGCGTCTATCTCCCCTCCTTGATGTATTAACCAAGGTCTTGCGTTTATCCTTACCTTCGGTTAGGTATGGCTCTAGCGCCTTACCGAAGAGATGTCCACCTGTGTAAGGTTTAGATGCCAGACGCCACTTGGCCTTGGTGTCTGCTCGCCAGTTTCTGAGCCAAAGGAGCCTTCGTGCTGAAATGTCTGCCGCGATGGTCCGGGCAGTGTATCTGGCCGTGTGTAAGGAGGCATCGGCTAGATACTGGGACGTGGCCACCAACTTACCCAGTTTCTGGTGGGCTCTGAGCTGGTCCGGAGGGATCATGTCCTGGAGCTCCCGTAACCACAGGACCGAAGCCCTGGCAAAGAAGGCCATAGAGGTTGCCGCCCTCGTTGCCCAGGCTGATGCCTGGTGGGACCTGCGTAGGGCGGACTCGATCTTCTTGTCCTCTGCCCTTAGTGCCTCATTTATGTCCCCAGGGATGTTGGACTTGGGAAACAATGAATTCAAGGGCTCATCAATCTCAGGAATCTCCAAAAGGGAGGTCAGGGAAGGAGCAACATTGAACAATGTTCTCTCTACTGCACCAGGGCTTAAGGGGGATCCTAGGTTCTCCCATTGTTTCTGGACTATATTTAGAAAAAAGGGAGGGCAGGGAATATGATTCTGAAAGACAGAGGGCTCAGTGTATATGGCATGGGGACCCTGGGATGTTGGTGGGGTCTCCTGTTCTTGGGCGAGGTTTGCAGTAGTGCAGGCCTTGAGTAGCAGGCAACTGAAGAAGGAATGGTCAAAGAGACCGACAGGAGGGGTGGGTTCGGATGGGGCGATGCCCTCGTCATCAGACAAAATCAGGCCAGATTGTTCAGCTCCTGTAGATTCCAAATCCGATGCGGGATCATCCATCCAATCCGGAGATTGTGAATGATGTGTGGACTGGGGGGGGGGTGGCTGTGGGGTGTTGGAGGCCATAAATTGAGCCACCGCCTGGGCTATCATGGACTGGAGGAGGTTCGGGTTCAGGGCCTGGTTTTCAGGAGGGCGAAGTCCTGCTGCAGTGGGGGTGAATGTGGCCTGGGGCCCTGAGGTGTCCTGACCGGTTATACCCCTCCCTGAAGCCACTGTTAGGTTTGAATCTGACTCAGGGATTCCCCTGGGGGGAGACCAAGCCCTGGGGCTGAGGCACTATGTGAAGAAAGAGGCTCAAAAATAGACCTTGCCATTGTGCCTGTCAGATCTGGGGAGACTGCTCTCAGTCTTTGGCACCCTTCCTCCCTCTGTGGCTCCCTGCTTGGCCGGGCTTGCTTGGTGGTGCTCTTTCCACTTGCCTCTGATTGGCAACTCCTCTTGGCCGGCTCGCTGCCTCTCTCTGCCATGATGAGTTGCTCTGGTCTCAACCTTGGCAAAACGCCCCCCTCGGTGCTGTACTTCACCAAGGGAGTCTACAGAGATACTTCAGCCCAAGAGGGGGGTGGGCGGGGAATTGATGGGCACCCCGATCACTTTGGATCAATCAGGCCCTCCCCGGTCGAAACTGCTCTCTCGAAGAGCTGGCCACCGATGATCGAATACTGCCTTCAGGAGAAAGTTCCAGGCAGTCTGGGCCCCAGCCACACACAAAATGGCCGCCAAGGGCTTTAGCCACGCACAAAAGGGGCCTCCGGGGGCTTCAGCCACACACAAAATGGCCGCCGATGACTTTAGTCACACACAAAATGGCCGCCGAGGGCTTCAGCCACATACAAAATGGCCGCTGAGGCTTCAGTCCCACACAAAATGGCCACCAGTGACTTCCGCCACTCACAAAATGGCCACCGGGGCTTCAGCCACACCCAAAATGGCCACCGGGGGCTTTAGCCACACCCAAATGGCCACCGAGGGCTTCAGCCACATACAAAATGGCCGCCGGGGGCTTCAGCCACACCCAAAATGGCCACCGGGAGGCAATTCAAAATGGCGGCCGTCAATTTCGCGCCCTAAAAAACGGCCGTTGGGAGGAGGCCTAGGGCGTAAGCTGCAACGAGCCCTCGTTCGGGTGAATCGCCTGGGCTCCTAAAGCAGCTGGTGGCATGTGATTAGGCCGGCTGGAAAAGCGCTGGGATCGTCCAAGGCCTGATAGGCCTTCCCGGCTCCGAAGATCGGGCCGTGCCCAAATTCTCACCTGCTGTTCTCAGCTGGGGCCGAGGGACCTGGGAAGGCTCCCTCCGGGCTTGACGACGTTGCGGAGCCTTCAGTGCGATTGGTAGCTTACTCCTGCTTCTCGAGGTGTCCGTGGCCTCCGACGATCAGCTGGCAGTCGGAAGGTCGTCAGAGCAGCGCCTTGTGAAAACGACTTAAATCGAAGGTTTGATCTTGCTGTCCCTAACTGAGGGAAAATAAAGAAGGGGAAAGTTCCCCCCCCCCAGAGGGAGAGGATTGTGAGTCTGTCAGCCTGAATAGGCTTCAGACTGGGGTGATTGATCTTTCTTCTAGATATAATCGATTCTGAATCAATAATAAAAATAACAAATAATAATAGCCTGAGCTAAGTGATTAAATAGAATTAAACAGTCTTCTGCTCCAGGAGCGAAGACAAAACGCATCTTAGAGCAAAGAGACTAAGTCTAAAACTGGGGTGCACTTGGCACAGAGGGGGCGTTACCAATTTCAGACTTAGTCCAATTGGAGCAGATAGATTAAGACAACCCATCCGTGGGTTCTCCATCCAATCATGCTGGAGAATTGATAATACATATCTTTGTTTTCTGTATTATTTGCCTGCTCTTTGGCATTTTGTCCAAATTTACCACGGTCCTTTTCCAAGCAGCAAACATCTCTTTTTTCATGACTAGAGTGAATTCTGAATTTTGAAAAATAAAAACTGTTACTACTTTAGCTTCACCCACTTGCATTGGGCTGTCATTGTCTCTTGACATAAATTTAATGGATTTTGTGTTTTTTCTTTTCAAATGAACAACAGAGGAGCATTTTTTTCACTTGCCACAAGAAATTCCTTACGTTTGTATTCTAGCATTATCACCAGCATATCTGACTGTATGGTTTGCATATAACTTAAATAAATAAGATGACAGTTTACAGCTTTTGTCCTATTCCGTTTCTAAATTATAATTATTTCATTGTGCCATATACCCCTTAAGGGTTATCCATATACTCTGGGCAGCAGTCTTAGGTATATTTACTATCCTCTTAATTTAATTCACATGGAAGACATGCAAAGGTAAGTGCTTTTAAATATATGATTCAACTTTATCTGTGTCATGTGTATTGCTTTATTGTTCAGATCATAAATTTCCTAGTTTTGCTTAAAGCTGACTCTTAAGAAAAACTGAACACATGATTTCAGAGAGCCAATGATTAGGATTTTTATTATTTATTTTTTGTATAAGACCCAAATACTTCTTATGATTATCATTATTCTGTTGTTTTGCATGTACATTGAGAGCTTCTGCACCGGAGACAAATTCCTTGTGTGTCTAGTCATGACATACTTTATTGGCCAAATAAAGTATTCTATTCTATTCTATTCTATTCTATTCTATTCTATTCTATTCTATTCTATTCTATTCTATTCTGTTCTGTTCTTATTTCTATTCCATTCCATTCCTATTTCATTCCATTCTATTCTCCACATTTCAGTCTGTTCTTTCTACTTGCTTTGCTTTACTTTGAATAAAAAAAATTGGCATTGTAGGAATGCATGCTTAGCACCATTGGTGCCTCCTACCCTCCCAATACAAATCTCAATTTTTCTTGCAAGGATAAAAAACATAATAATCCTGCTTTCAATGTAAGTTGCCTTTTTTCCCTTCGAGCCATCAATACATGCTGTCCTAACATGCCATTTTTCAATTGTGTTAAGCCTGTTCCCTGATAAAGCAAGCTGTACTGAAAATCCTTATCGCAGGATTCCCACATTATTATCTGGGCCTTATACAAAAAATAAATATGCCCTGACTCACAAAGGGATCATATAGGACTGAAAGAGACTCCAAAGAGATGCAAATAAATAGAAGAACTGTGATTCATCTCCCTATTTTTGCAGCAGGATTGCATACAAGAATTTCTCTTTCAAGAGTGTAATTCTTCCAATCCTTTTGATCTGAAACCTGAATATGAGATATTCTCCCATTTGCAACTTTTGACAAATCTGTGGCTCAGTGTGGTTATTACTTTTCAAGGAGGAGCTTTCTGGTGCAGTCACAGATAACAGCCATTATTTTAATATTGCTGAAAAATGGAATAGAATAGTGAATAACAATTGGAAATTATCAGGGACTATGTAACAGTCATATTTTCTAGATAGGTCATAGGACGGGCCTTTTTAACTTTCAACAATACAATACTTTGTATGTAATGATCGAATAGCGAACATTCTCCCAATGAGGGTAATCCCAACGTCTGTAGCTCAAGCCCTAAAGGACACATGCTCAAGAAATGTGGATAATCATTGCAGTCTGAATTTAATTATTTATACATCAGATTTCATGAAATGTGTAGATTAAATGGTGCAAGAAACTCAATGTACAACCTATTTTCCCTTTAATGTATGACAATCTGAGGTTACCTATTCTTTGAGATGAGCTATTGGTGTTTGGAAAGAAACATGAGGTGTTAGTAAAATTATGCAGTTTCTTATCAATTCATAATATTTTATTCAATAGTAAAGAACAGATGTAATTGTGAGAAATATTTCCACCATAATAAAAAGAAGGAAATGACTGAGTTGTTTTTCCTCTCACAACTCAATCAATGTTTCGCTTGGGAATTTATTCTTTTTTCTATAGCTTGAAAACAAGCACAACAACACAGTTTTTTATAAATTCTCAAACTGATAAAACTCACATCCCTCCAAATCCCTCTTCCTGTATATTTGCCCCTCATGCATAACACCTTAAAATGAATCCAGCTTTTGATGACAACTCTTATCAAAACATGGAATAATTTTACTATGTGAAGTAATAGTGTACGGAAGTGTGCAAGTGGCCAATTAATTGTTGACAGCTTGAAGAAGTTACTTGACTTCAATGATCTGTCATGTGCAAGGTCAAATAACACTGAATGAAATGCTTTTTATTCACAAGGTAGGAACAAATGAAGGAACAAAATGAGTGAGGATCCATTTACAGAACTATTTAGGCCTATCCAAAATCATTTGCTAGATCTGTATAGAGCCAAGGCATCTTAAAGAAACCAGCATATTTTAACATTATGTCAGGACCAACATTACATCCATGTAATTCATTGCACTTCAGAACAGAAGGTCTGTTTCCTTCTCCATAAAACTTAACAGGATGTTCATGTATGGTCACAACCTTCTTTCCAATTGGCCTGCTCTCGCTCCACATCCCTAAACCAATATATACAAATGACTGGGTTTTGCCATTTTCATCAGTCAGCCTTGGCTGGTTCCACTGCAATCCAATCCTCCCCTTCCACGTCAGCCTCAAATAATTGCATTTAATCCTACCTCTCTATTTACATCTACTTGGAGATAAAGTCCAGTGAAATGAATAGATTTCTATGTAAATACTCCTCATCCATCTAATCCAAACATTTCTTAATATAGTTTTGAAGGATTTAAGTAGCTCAAAAGGTGTGTGGGAGACCCCATTCTAAGATGCTTCTGAGATTTAGATTTGCTGAAAATATTTTTGGATCAAATAAAATTAGGGCTGCCAGGTTATTTTTTAGCAATACCAAAGGACCAAAAATAGCTAAGGAAAGTCTCCTTATAACTAACTCTTAATTGTACACCTAATGTCACATATTATAGCTGTAACCACCACTCTCAGCTGGAGCTCCCCATCAAGATGTGCTTGCTCTCAAAATGGTTTGATGCTGGAACACTGCCTAAGAATACAACATTTAAAAAAAAAACCACAGAACTTCCAGATCAAATGTTAATTACATGCCAGATAGAATTCTCCTATAGTTCAAAGAGAAAATATATAAACAAGAAGCTGGGCATTAAACCAGCAGCAATATAAATCCTCAGTTTTTGAGCGATTATGAAAGATAAATAACCGTATCATTGTGAAATAGAAAAATACTGGATTGCATTAAAAACTTCCACTAACTGTTAAATGTCACTATGAAAACCCAATGGCAATGTGCCTTAAAAACATAATGAATCACACATCTCCTAAATTATGCTCATTAATATCAAAGGTGTTGTCTTCTTTCTTTTTTAACAAATCACATATACATATGCAATAGATAGAAGTGAAAATATTTGCTTAATCAAATACTGAATACCAAGCATCTTTTTTTTTTTTGGTATTCTTTCATAACCACTTCCTGAATATTGTAGCAGGGTTTCTTTTTTTAAAATCCACAAACCCTGTTAACCTTACTTCTTTCAGCTTGCCTTGCCGCGATATGACGTTCAATCCTCAGAAACCTGATACAGTCGGTGATTGTGATTGCAGCCTTATGCATTCATTCCTCAGAATACTAGTTTAATCTTTGCATGATTGACGGGAAGTGCTTCTGGTTTCCAGTCTGGCTGAAAAAAGTGAATATTGAAAGTCCGGGCCCAATTCTCAAAGACTCGTTTCTCTGTGATAAAGCGATGATGACTTCCCTTCCTTCCCCGTTCATGTGAAATGTACATTGTACACTCATCGGGTCCCATTGGTTCATAATAATGATAAGGTACTGAAGGATGATTAGAATCCCTGTAGAAAAAAAGAGCAAATAGTTGGATGTAACTGAAAAATAAGACTGTCCTCAATAAGCAAAAGGGTTCAAAGTCCCTTTTCCCCATCCACCTCATCACCCAGAAGGCCAATACTGTAAACACTGAAATATTTTATCTGAACTAATTAAACCATACCCACTCTAGAACCAAATGGTTGACTACACTGAAGTGTGCTATATATATAAACTGCATATACATGAGGAGAGAAAACCTGAGATACATTCAGAGATGAGCAGCTTGGGAAGTAGTGATCCGGCCATCACAGCAACCAAGACAGCAACCAGGACAGAAGCAACCAATGTTTTAGAACCATCAATGTGGTTCTAATGTTGCGTGGTTTTGTTTTAAACTCCTGCTATGATCCTAAGTGATTTGCAAGGACAATAATTTTATTTAACAACCACAAGAGATTGCAAGGTTGGAAAACTTGTAACCCCACCCAAACAGATTGTTCTCTAGGATATGAATTATATAATGTATATAGAAACTTCATCCTCAACACTATTTTTAATAAGGAATTTCTATAGATTTTTTTAAATTAATTGTAACATCTCAGATGGGATCTACATGTAATTTCCCCCAAACCATGAAAATCCTAAGTGCCCTCCATGATCACTATTCTTATTTCTTCTCTCTATGTCTACACCTTTGATACAGTGATCCCTTTTACTAAAATGAGTCCAATTCAATAAAAGGCAAAGCAAAACAATCAATCTGGCAGTATAAAAGGCTGATGAAGGATCTTAGTTTAAGAGTAATTGTGCCTGTATCTCATAGCATATGGCAGTCACATAGAAACTAAAGCATACAAAGTTAAATGCACAGTCCCTTTAATTCTGCAAATATCATTTAAGCATCTCTGACAAGAAGGGGTACAGTTTCCCTGGAGTACTTCCTCTAGATTTTATAATGTCTGAGAAACACCTTAATGTTATAAGCTTCATATAACTAATTATAATGCTATCACATACCTATAAATACGAAGGCAGATGTTCTCAACTAGGAAATTTTTAGATAAGGGGTATCCAACCTTGGCAACCTGAAGATCTGTGGATTTCAATCCCCCAACTGGGGAATTCTGGGAATTGAAGTCCACAGGTCTTAAAGTTGCCAAGGTTGGACACCCCTGTCTTAGATGAATGAATTACAGTGCTAGTGGCTTCTGGCATAATTAACAAACCAAACCTACATGCCATCTTCTAAATATTACAAGAAGAAATGTCACAGCTACATGCTTTTTTTGCCCACACATTAATGCTGATAATATCTGTTATAAAGCACAATGTGATAATTCATCCTGGCTTCCCTTTCCCCATTAATAATGGTTAGTTTTTCCAAGGTGGAAAACAATGCATGTGGCATCAAGATCACATAATGAATTTCCCATTGAAGTAGACATTCAAAGGAAGAAAAGACAGCACTGTCAAGAGGATGAGAACATCTACACTGGTATCTTGTGTCTTTGGGGCCAGATGTTAATTCCAATCCTAAGGATCATCAAAAAGAATTGGGATAAGTTTATAAGTTTCATCTTTCCGGTTTGAATAGGTAAAAGGTAAAAGAGTCCCTGCAGATTTTACTCTGCTTGTCGTTGCTGATTACAGATCGCAGTGCTCATCTCTGTTTCAAGGCCATTGAGCCAAGCGCTGTCCGAAGACATTTCCATGGTCATGTGGCCAGCATGATGTCATGGAGCCCTGTTACCCTCCCATCGAAGTGGTACCTATTTATCTACTTGCATTTGCATGCTTTCAAACTGCTACATTGGCAAGAGCTGAGGCAGGAATGGGAGGTCACCCCATCATGTGGCGCTCGGGTCTCAAACCTGGGCTGCCAGCTTTCCAGCCAACAAGCTCAGCATCTTAATCACTGAACCATCACGCTGCCCTCTGGTTTGAATAACCCAGACTAAAATTGTATGCTAAATGCCCACTCAGCAATTATATTTTTATGCTAGCAGAATGAACTTTTTGAGAATGCTGAAAGGCTTCCCCATCCTTGTTTATTAATACTAAAGGAACTACTAGTCTATAAAGGTGTTTATTTTATTACTTTATGATATTAGACATTAATCAGTACTTTGTCAGAATTAACATGCTTAGCAACATAACAGTAGGAATGCATTTACAGATGTAACTACTGTACATAAAAACATTAGTTTTCTGAAACGGCACTGTGTAATCGTCTGTATTCTATATATACTACAATATTTGTTTTGGATAAAATGAAAAGATATTCAAATGCTTTATGACGCTTCTACTTAATGGCAAATCAGCCTACTGAGAAGAACTTTAAGCTCAAAGTTTAATGCTATTAGTACAAGCATAAACAGTCTATAGGCATTTTCAAGAAAGAAGCAGGCAAATTCTAACAGGCAAAGAGATGGAATGATAACATAAATCCATTCCTCTCATATTATATCTTGACAATCAGGGGACATCATGATAGGATTTGGATATTATTACATACTGCTAACTGAAGTGCAGCCCAACTGTTTTCTTGTCTGAGCTGTCAGAAATGGCATTAGTTTTAACTTTTGTGACAAATTCATTTAAAAAGAATCTCATAGTGTAATAGCTCCTGCAGGTTTTGCTAATCAGAATGGAAATTAATCTCTGGGAAGAGGAATCCAAAACAACTCTATTGTTCCACTAATGTGTATTAAAATACACAGACTGGATTCTCTCCAAGTCATGGTTCCTCTTAAAATGTTCTACTTTCAAAAACCAGATAACACTGCAAAATTCCTGAATGATGTATGGACTTCATCTATTAAGAATTGGTAATCTTTCAAAGACATGGTTGATCTATGGAATGAAAATATGACCAAGGCAGTCATCATGCTTGTCCCTAGGAGCTGAAAATTCTTCAGACAACCATCTGAAGCACACCTCCAAATCAACCATGAACCTTGAACAAGAAAGATGAAGGTTTTTCAAATGGATTAAATAAATGTTAAGAGATCTCAAACATGCAGTCCAATCAAGAAGACCCAATAATATTTCTGTGCCAAAAGAACTGGGGGGGAAAGCAAGAATAGACAGACTCTTAAGAAAGGTTGTGAGCTATTATTTATTATGAAGGATGCACATCAAATTATGATGGCAAACGGGGCTAGAATTTCCATAGCTAAGTGATGTGGTCTTAAACCATACTCACATATACACAGATTGTAGATAATAAATGCAACAAGCCATTAATGGCATGTGTTTGTACATATGCTCATACAATCTTGATTTTCAAGTTTTTCAAATGATTTTTCTCCAGAAATTAATTTCATGTATTCTATAGCATTATGTTTATCTAATAAATATTTAAAAGACTAAGGGAAACTAACAAGATGAGTAACTCCTCACAGTACAAATATATTAAATATAATTAAATGCTGCTGTTGTTTTTAAAACTCAATCACAGCACATGCTAATTAGGAGTTCCAGGAACATCCTACATCTGTGTTTTAAGTAGTATAAAGACATTTATGTATAAATACATAATCCATAAGACTGAATTTTGCAACCTAATAAAAAATGCAGATGAATTAGTTACCTGCAGAAATCTGGTGGCACCATTCCATAGACGTCTATTTTGTCACACAGCTCTAATGCAATACTCATTGTAAACCATCCAGTGCTTAACCAAGTGTTGGATATCTTCCTGAAAACAGAAACAATTAAGTTCCCCAGGTGACAAATAACACTTGAGATAACTTCATGTTAGGATTTTCTTAAAGTTACCTATTAAAATTCATAGAAAAGTTGTACACATGGGCAGTCAACGTTCAAAGTACTCCTACACCATGTAATAGGTTTAACTATATCCTTCTCTTGTGAACAAATGTATTTAGTAATTGCATTTCTCATTCTAACATTGCAGATATTAGTGGTATTATGTAGCTGGGCAGTTACCGGAATAAGATTTGAGTGTAAACTGTGGGTTTGGATTAGTCCTACTAATTAAATGGAAAAGAAAGAAAGCTCTATCTCAGGGGTGTCAAACTCAATTTCATTGAGGGCTGCATCAGCACTGCAGTTGCCCTCGGGAGGCTGGGTGGGTGCGGCCTACTGGGTAGGTGTGGATGGAGTGGGTGTGGCCTACTGGGTTGGCATGGCCAGCTCTACATTATTCACGTCAAGGGTGCCTGTGGGGGCCTGGGCAGGAGTGGGACAGATCTGAGGGTCTCTGGCAGAAAGGGTGGGACTAGGGCAGAGCCCATCAAGCCGGATATGTGAAGTAGGCGAGGGCCATTTGCTGGCCACTTCCAGGCAATGGTGCATTTCTTCATTCCTCATAAAGGGTGACACCTCCCCAGCATGCACCCAGGGGATAGGGCCGATGTGGCAGGGGCTGGTTCCTCGCTGTTTCCAGATGGCCTTGTGGAGCTAAGACTGAATGCATTTCAGCATAGATGGCCACCACAAAATTGTACATTGGCTCCCGGCCGGCCTGGGCCAGGGCCAAGGCAGTGGGGGCTGTTCCGTCACTGTTTTCAGGATGGCTTCGCGGGCCACATGAAACCACTTTGCGGGCCATCTGGCCCCCGGGCCTTGTGTTTGACATGTCTGCTCTATCTGGTTAACGGAAGAATTGGCAGGCAAATATACATTTTATGTCACTGCAAAATGAGTCTGTATTTTTTAATTGTCATGTTGGGGAAACCTTCAGAATTTTTTAAATAGTTGTTTTTTCATTTAAACTTGGCTCCTGGTGGTTTACATACACTGTAAACATCCGGGTAGTTTACTTGGCACAAGTGCCGCCTTTCAGGATAGCTTTTCCCACAGGCTCTGGGACCAAAATATTGATGGAGCTTGTACAGGGGGTAGTTGGTGGATAAATATGACTTTCATTGAGGCATTATCTATTGTTTTAAATATTCTTTATTTTACTATACTGTATTTTTATTCTGTTTACCACCCAGAGTTCTTTTTGACAAATGAATGATACTTATTTAATAAATAAATAATAATATGTCATCTCATGTATGATTAAGAGTGCAGGATTCCACTGATGATTAATTCTGTTTTTGTGGTTGTTGTTCTTTGCAGATAATTTTTTTCGTAGCAGAAATCCAGTTAACTGTAGCTCCTGTTTTCCTGAAGCTGATATGGAATTCTCCAGGTATCAATTTTAAAGCAAACAAGGAAAGTAAAATAGTGCTGTCATCACACATTACAGTAAATATACACCCGAAGGCTTACCCAGAAAACAGAATGCTTATAAGGTACTTATGTTTTTCACATTATGTAAGAACTTCCCTGGATCTCTTAAGTAATCAGAACTGTGTATTTCAGTTTATTACTGAGTGATATACTTTGTATTTTAATAGTTCAACCTATCCTCTGGGTTATCCCCCTAGTTATTCTCCTTTTATATATTTGGGATAAGATTGTTTCTACACAGACATTAGCATGTCTGTGGATGTCAAAGAATATACATAGCCGTGGAATGCCCTGTCTGTTTGTCTAACATCTAGACAAAGCTGGTAAGAACTGGATTACTGGTTTCATACAGCTTCCACAGGTTGCTAGTCAATTTGACACATTCTATGGATAGCTGACAGAAGAAAGCATTAAACATCTATTTTAATAAAAGAGGGTAGACTGGGAAGGGAATTGATGGCTTTATATCTGCTAATTAGAAGATGGAGTATAAAAAGGGAAGTACAGATTTTGTTCACACTTGACTGTTCTTGCTCTGAAAGCCTTGATTCATGGCCCCTTTGAGACAATCATTCCATAAGCCTGGTTAATAACCGGTCTTAAGGCAGGGCTTTTCAACCAGTGGTATGGGTACCACCTGTGGTACATTGGCACCTGGCAGATGGTACGTGAGCATTCTAGAAAAGTAGTGGGGGAGGGGAATGAGCTAAACCGGTAGCAGCACCGCACAAGCCTGAATGAGAGATGGCTGGAGCTGCAGGGCTGTCAGGGCTCAGTGGAAGCGCCAAGATCGGCACTTCTTCAGGACTGTCAGAGCTCAGTGGAAGCACCAGGATCAGCGCCAGGTTCCAGCTGGAGCTCGGCGCTGATCCTGGCACTTCCACTGAGCCCAGAAGAAGCGCCGATCAGCTGGAATGTTGCAGCATCTCCAGGGTCTTGTGATTTACATTCAGATGCTTGGCAACTGATTCATATTTATGATGGTCACAGTGTCCACGGGTAATGTGAAGTGACCAAAACCTGCTGCAATCACCCACCAGATGGGGGGGGGGAATAAAAACCAAACACCCCCCACCCCCGCTGCCAATTCTCAACAGAAATGCTCACAACAATGAAAACCTCGGACAAGAGGAAGAGCGCCACCGGGCGGGCAGGCAGGTGTCTTGCTCGGCTGTGGCTTGGGGGCACTTTTTTCAGTGCTATTGTAACTTCGAACAGTCACTAAGCGAACTGTTGTAAGTCGAGGATTACCTGTACTTTATCACTTTTTTCCTTTTTTTTTTTTTTGGTCAAGTTTTTGACACCTTGCTAGGCGACTGGTGGTACTTGGATATTGCCATATCCTAAAAGTGGTACAATGGGTGAAAAGGTTGACAAGCCCTGTCTTAAGGAACTGTCCTCCTTTTCTATAATAGAGAATATCTGGTTTAATACAAACCATGATCTTTGCACCAAATCTGAGTGGAAGGAGGAAGAAGAAACAGAAAGACATTTGGTACTGAGCAATTTGTTTCCACGATTAATAAAACATGGCATAATCAAGAGGACTGGCTTAAATATCATATGGTTCATTACTGAGTGGCTAATGAAGAGTTTAGCCACTGAGAGGCTGTGAGGATTTTTTTTAAAAAATATAATATTTTAAAAACATGAGAAGGCTTTAAATGAAAGAGTTTTCCAAAGAATGTAACCTGATAGGATGCAAAATACTTCTAGTGAGGATAATAGTACACTGAAATGGAAAAAGCATTTGTACTGAATTTATTCTTCTCTGAGTACTTAATGTACACATAAATACGTGTGTGATACTTATTCTCTCATCATCTTTTCACTGTGCAAAAAAAATTTAATGAGTACATAAGTAATAAAAATAAATCCACTCTTTGTTGTTGGGAAGAAATTCATTTCTAATGTTGTTTGTAGCCATACAGAGGACCACTTATTAAACAAATTGATCCAGAGATCTGTTTGTGAGCCATAAATGGGCTCATAAAGGGAGTTAAGTGTCATCATAACTTCCCTTTTTTCAGCTGGAAGTATAAGATGAGTACTTCAGAGGTATCTAATATATGAAAAGGAAAGCTTTATTGCTAAAATGTTTCAAGAATGCAATAAGTAGATTTTATAATTCACCGAATGACAGCACTGACTCAATAAATAAAAAACCTACAAATTGTACTTTTTAAAAAACAGTGAATTTTTTTATTGAGGTATATTATCTAAAATAAGATTTAAATTCACCATCTACCTTCACATTGTGCTATTCTAGAATTCTATTTATCAACTGAGTTCACTATATATTTATTTAGGCATTTAAAGCTAAAGCAGAATATGCTATTTGATTGCATCATTGTCTATATTGCAAAAATCGTTATTTGACACACAAAAATATTATAGGTTAATAAGCAGGAAAAAGACACTCTAGATTCTATAAAATCAGGTGTCTGGTGGCACTTTTTCCAAATATAGGTAGTCCTCGACTTACAACAGTTCATTTAGTGACCGTTAATAAAAGCTTAATAAAAGATGAACTAAGGAGCTTTCAGAATAGTAATGGTGTATATGATCTGGCTAGATTAAAACCTTTAGGATATCCAGTTACTGCCAGCATGCAGAAAAGGAAAACTCAAAGTAAAGACAGAATTATGATAGGAACATGAAATGTAAGAAGCACTAATAGGGAAACGCACATCATAGTGAAAGACAAATTGACTACATGTTGACATTTTTGGCATCAGGGAATTAAGATGGACTAGAATTGGTCTGGAATTGGACATTTTCAGTCAAAAAATCACAGTCATATTCAAGACATGAAAAGAAAGAAGGAATAATGTTACCATTATAATTAGGAATGGTATATCAAGAATAGTATTTGCCTAAGTGCATCAATGATGGGATATTATCTGTTAGATATTGTGGACAATATATAATTATGACAACCATCCAAATTTTGCTCAAATACCAACGCAGAAGATAAGCTTGACAAGTTTTATAATGAACTTCAATTTGAACATGCAAGCAAGATGTGGTTTGGAGACTGGAATGCCAACGCTGGAAATATTAGGAAGGAATAGGAAACCAAAATTAAGTATGAGAATCATTTACTAGTTTCTGCCACTAAGTGACTGGCATGCTAACACAATTAGCATAAAAACTGACTCACTGTTGGTGAAAGATTAAGACTATTAGAAGTAAAAGGAAGTAATATAATGTTGGTTTATTTGATCAAGGTTTAAATGAGATATGTTGTTATTTCTGATCATTGTTACTGGACTTTTTGATGACACCAGGATTGAAATGATGATGCTTTATGGATTTGTCTATTGATAATAGATGGAATATGGGCTGAAAGATCATTGATTGTAAACTAAGAGAGGGTGAACAGTTACAAAAATTATTTAGACTTGTGATGAAGGTTGGAAGTTACTTTTTTTAATCTATTTTTTCTTTTTATCTACTATATTCTTACCTTTCTATTTTCTTTTTTTTGCACCTTTCACTCTTTCTTTTTAGCTTTCTTTTAGTTTAATTACTTTACTATTTTAACTGAAAGTCTTTAATTAAAAAAGTTATATTTTTAAAAAGGAACGAGTCAAACTACACATCAATACCAACCAAAGGAGACTAAGCAGCTTTTAATAAAATGTGCTAGTTGGGAAAAGTGCTACCAAATTTCTCATTATTATTATTTTTGCCACCATAGCATAGACCAACACGGCTCTCCTCCTGCACTCTGCAAAGTGATTCAAACTGAGAGCATATGCTTCAAATAATTATTCTACCAATTACAGGAGTACTTCCATTATCTATTCTTGTACAATTGTTTCCATACCTGTCTTTCCCAGTTTCCTGTTTGAAGAGGTCATCAAAATGAAGCATTTTCTGTCGAGATATCATATACACTTTTAACTGAGGTAGTATTTGATTCATCAGTTGTAGATTATTATAAATTAATCCTTTTCCATCTCTTCTCATGTATGTACTTGGACCCCAGAAGATAAATACTGTCCCATGACTCATATTTAATAGTTCATTGCGATTTCGCAAAATTCTCTGGATACTGGAATGAGCTATAACTCGCAAGGTTGTCTTGTTTCCGACATCTTTTCCAAATCCCCGAGTAGGTGCATCATTCATTCGTATTACACACTCTGTCTGATCGATCTTCTTCCCTTGATGGCTTCGCAAAAGGTGTCCAGAGCTTGTGACTAGAGCACAGCTTGTGCAATGCATTTTCAAAGGCTGCAGAGAAATAAATGTCTCAGTATACATCCAAATATATATCTAAATACGTATTCAAATTATCCAGAGTTGGGGAGAAAATACTCCCAGGATACCTAGTAAAAAAAGAACAAACTAAATCCAAGTGATGGGCTTCCAATGTCATTGTGAAAAGTTAATTCACTTCGCCTATCTCTTCACCACAGTATCTCAGACATCTATCAAGCCTGGCAAATTATTGCCAATTTGCAGATACATATTTTTCTTTAGCTTGGGAAATATAAGAGAGCATTTCCTGGCTTTCATGACTAAGGGGGGATTTGAACTCAAGACACCCCCTCCCAGGTTCCTAGCCTGGTGCCTTATCCATGAGGCCAAATGAGCTACAACAGAAGTTCAAAAGTTTTTAAAACTGTGAAACATGGCAATCTGATCCAGATTCCCTACTTATAAAATCCTTAACTACTGTGACAGACAGTGAATTTCAGCAAGGTTGTTTATTTTTGCTTTTAAATAAAACTTGGTATCTGCAGAAATAATCTGTGGAGTGCTGTTATCTTCTTTCTCAATGAATTTATTCTATTATATTTCACTTTCTTTTCCCTGGAGAACCAGCTCCAAAAAAAAAAAAAAAAGGGGGGGGGGAAATATATAATTTCAGAAGATTTTTAGGACAGTTGAAGATCTGTTTCCCAGCCACTCACATTCCCTGCACAGAAAGGAAGGAGAGAGGCAGGAACTGGAAGCTGCTTGGATTAAAGTTATCAGATAAGCTATCACAGGGGAATGAAAGAGAAATGCTGGTGAGGAGACAAGAAAGGAGACAAACTGGGTGGCTGGATGACAAAGCTTAGAGCAGTGGTTCTCAACCTTCCTAATGCCGCGACCCTTTAATACAGTTCCTCATGTTGTGGTGACCCCCAACCCATAAAATTAGTCCTTGACTTACAACAGTTTGCTTAGTGACTGTTCAAAATTACAACGGCACTCAAAAAAGTGACTTATGACCATTTTTCATACTTATGACCATTGCAGCATTCCCAGGATCATGTGATCACCTTTTGCAACCTTCTGACTAGCAACTTTAGTGGGGAAACCAGATTCACTTAAGAACCATGTTACTAATTTAATCTCTCTCTCCCTCTTTCTTTCTCTCTCCCCCTCTCCCTTTCTTTCTCCCTCTTTCTCTCTCCCTCTCTCTCTCCCTTTCTTTCTCCCTCTTTCTCTCTCCCTCTCTCCCTTTCTCTCTATTTCTCTCTCCCTTTCACTCTCTCCCCCTCCTCAGGGAGAGGAGGAAAAGACTTGAACCCCGGGAGGCAACGTGAGGGCCATGAGCAGTATTGCAAGCTTGTGGGAGGGGAGATGAAAAAAAATGGAAGAGAGTGAGACCACAACAGAGAGAGAGAGAGAAGGGGAAAAAGAAGGGGTCGGTTGTGAGGTTGGCTCTCAGGACCGCAATGCAAGCGGTCTCAAACAGCTACCTGCGAGTGGATGGCTCTGCCCCCTTCAGAATCGCGCTTGCTTCTGAAGTAAGAAGAGGGGGGGAAGGGCGACACGGCTCCTGCACAATGAGTCCCTGGGGAGGGCGCGGCCTCGCTCTGAGCCTGCGCTCTTCGCGCGCCCTCAGTAGGGTTCCTGCAGGCTGTCGCCAAGCAGCTTGTTTTCAATTTCAACAAGTGAGCTGTGAAGGAGGGGGGAGGAAGGCGATGCCGTGGGGGGAGAGACGGGGGAGGAAAAGCCCTGTCTTAGGCGACCCCTGTGAAACAGTCATTCGACCCCCAAAGGGGTCGCGACCCTCAAGTTGAGAACCACTGGCTTAGAGGCATGAGACAGTGAGAATAGATTTACTGGATTTCATAATATAAAAGTATGACTGCATATGTTTTGAAAATGTATACTTTGAATGGGTATCTGTAAAATTAGAAAATGGTTAAGGACGATGATGATCCAGAAGAAGGGAAACATTTGGAAATTGCATAAACCCATAGGCAGATTTTGTTGGCTTCATTTGGCAATATAACAGAATAACAGAGTTGGAAGGGACCTGGGAGGTCTTCTAGTCCAGGGTTTTTCAACCAGTGGTACGGGTACCACCTGTGGTACATTGGCACCTGAAAGGTGGTACACAACCATTCTAGAAAAGTGGTAGCAGGGGAGGGGAATGAGCTGAACTGGTGGAAGCAACGCACAAGCCTGAGCGAGAGATGGCTGGAGCTGCAGGGCTGTCAGGGCTGAGTGGAAGCGCCAGGATCAGTGCCAGGCTCCAGCTGGAGTTCAGCGCTGATCCTGGAGCTTCTGCTGAGCTCAGAAGAAGCGCCAATCAGCTGGAATGTTGCAGCATCTCCAGGGTCTTGTGATTTACATTCATATGCTTGGCAACTGATTCATATTTATGACAGTCAGAGTGTCCCAGGGTCATGTGAAGTGACCAAAACCTGCTGCAACCACCCAGCAGACGGGACAAATAAAAATAAAACATCCCCATCCCACCCCCACTGCCAATCCTCAACAGAAATGCTCACAACAATGAAAACCTCAGATAGGAGAAAGAGCGCCGCTCTGAATGGGGAAGCCAGATTCCCTTAACATCCATGTTACTAACAATTGCAGCAATTCACAATTGTGACAAGAAAGGTTGTAAAATGGGGCAAAATTCACTTAACAAATGTCTCGCTTAGCAACATAAATTTTGGACTGAATTGTGGTCATGAGTCAAAGACTACCTGTATTGCAAATATAAGTTATAGGACATTTCAGAAAAAAAAATGCTTAGATATGATTTGGAAATCTGGTTTGCTTTTCTTTGCTTTGAAATGGGTGTTTTGTTGAAATAAAAGTTGATATTTGCCTTTCTAAAAAGTGTTGGCTTGTTGTGATAATACATTCTGGGACCATTTACAGCTAATATTAGTAACTTTGTGACACTACTTTTACTTGTTTGTTTGTATACTTAAGTCTTCAAACAAAACAATTCCCTGAATGATCTTCTACTAATATTAAGACAATAGTTGTTACCAGATTTACAAACTTTTCCAGCATTAAAAGCTCAAGAGCCCAAAACATTGGAGACTCATGGTTTAGAAGCATGAAGGGTTGAATGAAAAAGGAAGCATTGCATTAAAAAAAGATCAATGACAAAAGCATCTTCATCTTTCAGCAACTCTTTAAAGGAACCAATGTGTTGCTCTCACTGATTTAGCTTCCTTTGCTCTCAGCGGAGCTGTCATGTAGACCTAGATTAACCAGAATCAATTCTGATATTACCTTTTTTTAAAACTCCAAGATCCAACAGAGAAAAAGTTTGTGTTTGTACAAAAGAAACATGCTAAGAATTTTAAAACAGTACTTCTCAGTACGTGCTCAGCATTTATAGTATCAGAATTGAACTGAGTAGTTTTTATGCTTATAACTGCATTTAGGATGGTAGGAAGGTAGGTGGATGATATAGAAAGATGTGTGTGTGTGTGTGTGTGTGTGTGTGTGTGTGTGTGTGTGAAAGAGAGAGAGAAAGAGAGAGAGAACAGACAGACAGATATGAGATAGATAAATAGATAGATAGATAGATAGATAGATAGATAGATAGATAGATAATGGATGATAGATGATTAGATAGATGATGTAGATAGATAGATATAGATGATATTGATAGATGATAGACGATATAAATAAATATAGATAGATAGATGATATAGATAGATAAATAAATTCCAGTTCCAATGGCATCCTTCAGTCTCGAGAGACTATGGTATCGTGCTCTGGAAAGAGGTCCTAAGGCAGCATCTGGTGTGGCTAAAAAGGCCAATTCGAAAATGTCAGTCCCTTCCACACTGAGGGCAGATATAATCTGTCCCATCCAGCCCCCAGATTTCGCTGGTTTCGGGACTGCCTCTTTGCCTCAGCCTGCCGCACAAGTGTCTCTTCGAATTGGAGAAGGCCATGCTGCGTCTTTAGTCTCCAGGCTGAACAATCAGATAAATAGATGGATGGGATATAAATACATGGACTATTTTCTTTCAATATTACATGAATTCTCAGAATGCTATCTCTGTTTAATATATCTCCCATCCCAATAGTTACAGCAGTGTAGACATAAGAAATGTCAAAAACATAAAAACATTTGAATTACTAAGTCCATGTGCCTTACAGTAGGTGATATCAATAAAACTGTAAGAGCTTCATCAACCATGATGTTAGATTTTATAGCAAAAAACGGAGTATCAAATAAGCATTTAATCTTAAAGGAGGAATGATTCTTGTGCCCCACAGAAAAAAATGCCACTGTGCTTCTGCTATGTTCTGTACTTAACTTCACTTTGTTTTAGTAACATGGATCATGGAAACTGGAAGCATTGATAGAGTTATGGAACATACAGTAAGGATTGAAAGTGACTTATGCAATCCAACCTGCTACCTAGACCAGGGTTTATTGCTATAGCTGCTCAAACATATATGATCATCCAAGAGAGTCCACCACTTCCTGATAAAACCTATTCTGTTATTGAACTCTCATTGCAAGAAACTGCTTTTTATATTTTCTACGTTCAACAAATATCTATTTTCTTGTAGCTGAAACCAATTGTTTCTTGTTCCATCATTTAGAACCCCAAAGAATTCTGTCCTGTCTTCTACGTGACAGCTTTTCAGATATTTAAGACAAATCTGATTTTCTCCAACTACAATATTCAATTCCTCCAAGCATTTCTTTTATATTTTTTTCTTCCAGGCCAGGCTCCTTATTTGGTTGTACTCATTTGGATGTATGACATACAATCTTGACAGTGGCTTAAAATGTAGTGTCCAGATCTGAATACATATTCGGAATGTGGTCTGAGCAACACAGAACAGAGAAGAACAATTACTTTAGGCGTTTAAGTGAAATGAAGTTATGGAACACTTTTTTAAATAATGGACAGAAGGAGTAACTTTGAAGAAGAGTGGGAAGACAATGGGGTGAATCCAGGGCAGAACTGTAATTTGGAAAAACATCTCAGACATGATCGTTCTAGTTCCCATGAACATAA